GGTCAACGGTCAACGTCGGAAGTCAACGCCGGAGTCAACGATTTTCGCCGGAAGTCAACGCCGGAAGTCAACGGTCAACGCCAGAGTCAACGGTCAATGGTCATAATAATATTTAAATAATTAAAAATAAAGAATTAAATAATAAAAATAAAGAATTAATATTTAAATCAAGATCTAAATCTTGTGGCTAGGAATGAGTCTCACGTCCTCACTTTAAATAATGGGATGCATTGGAACCAATCCTTATATATATATATATATATATATATATATATATATATATATATATATATATCGTCGTGAATTTATGTGAAACACGTCGATTCGTGCGAATGGAACGGAAACTCATTATAAGTGATTAGTTGCTGTGGATTTAGGGATTTAGGATTATTGAGAACACCATGGCGTTGGCCTTGTGTCGATTGGGCGTGTAAATTTGTAGTTATGATTTTTCGAAGTTCATAATTGCTGTTTCGGATGTAAAATTCACCATAAATTGAATACTGAGCCAATTGCCTTGAAATTTTACGTGTATCTGTTTCTGATGAAATTGTAACTTGTGTAAACATTTAGTGATTTTTAAAGACATGTAGCTATTTTTAAAAATTAAATTGATTTCTGCCTAGATTCTCGTTAAATGCATAATTAATTTTTTATTGCTCCTATTTGACTGATATTCGAGTATGTTGTGTTTCTATCATGTTTATGTGTTGTGTAAAAGTTTTAGAATTTTTGGACTAGGTTTGATAGGATTAATAATTTATTTTGTGTTTCTGCCAGAATTTGTTTTAATTTTTATAAATTGGTCAGAAGCTGAAAAATTCCAATTTTTGGTTCAGATGCTCAATCTGTGATGTTTTGTATGTGGTAAAAATATTGAAATTTTTGGAGATCATTTAGTTTCAGTTCTGATGGAAATTTGATAATTGGCTGAATGTTGTTTTAATTTTATAAATTCACATGCTGAGTGTTTATTGCTGATACTTTTACATGTTGCTGATCATATGCTGGAGTTCAGATAAAAATTTCATGGTTTGAATCGTTCATTATCATGTGTTTTTAATTTAAACTCATTTTTGTTGAAAAACTTGTTTGAATTTTATAAAATTATATATAACGAGTTTGAAGCTGAAACTTGGTGATTTTTCTTAGTACTGGGAGATGAATTTTATGTAAAATTTTCAGAGCCTAACTTGTTGATTTGATATACCTTCTAATACAAGTGTGAATATTGACAATTGTTTTGAATAATGATTTTTGGTTAAGTGTTGATGACCAAGTTTGTTATGTGTTTACTTGTGGCTTGTTTAAATGTCTTTTATTTGAATTTGTGTGATCTTTAATATGTGGTTTGATCGAGTCTAAGTCCTAGAGTTCCCATATCCACAGAACTTCACGAACCACGTAGTCGAATCAAGTTCGACTAAGTCAAATTTGTGATTTCTGCTTAGGTCTAGATAAAGTGTTGACTTTAGTATCTGGATTTAATGTAGGTGTCTAGAGGTGTCGACCTCGCCTTGCTTGAGAGATTCACGTTTGTGATCTGTCGCTGCAACCAGATGGGTACATTTATGATGTATTCCATATTTATCGCACTTACTATTTCGTGTAATGTTTCTTTTGAAATGTTGTATGCATGAGAACTCTAGTCTAAGTGTCCCGAACGATAGTGCCTTTAATAAATGCGAAAGCAGTAGGAGGTCGCCTGCCCGTTGTATCCGGGAGGGACGCCCCAAGCCGTTGTACCCGGAAGGGGAAAAACATCTCTGCTGTCTCCTGGAAAGGATCCTACGAACCGTTGTACCTGGGGGTGGCAAGGTTTCCAGTTACAGCCATGTCGTTGTATCCGAAAGGTTGTTGTATGTACATAGGAGGTTTGCGATAGGGCCGGGTAGGGGGTTTAGACTTTGAATTCTGTGCATACTGTGATCACTCTGCTTTTAAAATAATTATACGGGATAATTGTGCGATAATGGTGAGCTTGTTGGTTATGCTCACCCCACTATTTTTCTTTGTTGTGTTTTCTCTTCCTTTGATCCAAGTTGAGACGAGCTGGAGGCGGCGGCGTAGGACGAGTGAGATGGTGGTCAATATTTGATGATGTCTTACGCTTCTGCAGAACTTGTTACTTAATTATTTGCTTTCATACTTTGGATTATTTCTTGTTTCAGCTTTCGAATTATGTTTAAGTTTTGGTTGAACCTTGATTCATGCTAGACCTATTTGAATGATTTGAGACTTATGATTTTATGGGATTATTTTATATCGTTAGTCCGAGCATGTGTAGGTTCTTTTGTTTGTTGGATGTGTTTATCTATTGTCGTTAGCAAGTAGCGCCCGTTTCTCGTTAAATGTTTTTAATTTGAATTTTTTAAAAAAAAAAACTCTGATTTTTATAAATTAATTCGATAAATTCTTTAAAATAAAATGGGGAGTTAAAGAAGAAATATTTTTTTGTTATAATATTTTGTTAGTAGTCTATTTGTAGCCCGTATAAAAAGATTATTTTTAATGCATTGTTAATACATTGGCGATCTCCAACAGAAATATTCCCATTGGTATCTTTTCTTGGCATTTTGGCAATTACTTGTAGTGTTATCATGTCGATTCATCGAGCTACTCTAGATGCTATATTACATTTATTGTTTATTATATTTATATTTATTTTATTTTAGTTTGTTTTGTGGAAGTTTTAATTACACAATTGAATACATATCTGGAAAGTATTCAAGTTTAAATAGCTTTTTGACCCTAGGATATAGTATTTTGTATGTAAATGTCCAATAAATGGAGGTGCGATTGATAGTGCCCACATCTCAAAAATAAAAACAGAGTATAGAACATCATGATAATACTACAGTTGGAAATAACTACTTAAAGAGGGGCAAAAGGGCTGTAAAGCAACTAGCTTTCATTGCAAAAACAACTTTTTTTTGGTAGGCCGCAAAAATGGAGTATTAAAAAAAAAAAAACTACATTATGATGACGACACAGCTGAGGTTTTGGCTATAATGATTCATGAGAGGTATTCAATTTCTTCTGGGCATCTATGTTTTGTCTGTTATTAAACCACTTTTTGTGACCTTCAAAATACCGTTCGTTGAAATTTTTGCTATATATAACCTAGGCAGCCTAATAATCAATATTTTATCCAATAGAAAACCATTGCAGGAGTTGATTTCATAAAAGAGGCATTCATCAAGTCCGAATGAACTTAGACTTAATAATCAAGTTTTACAACTATTTAATTGCACCCATCTTGATATGCGATTATGTTATTTGAATCTATAGTTGGAAATCCCAACAAAAAGTTGTTGGTGGTAGAATTATTTTATAATTGTCAAAGATAAATATTTAAATATATTATGATCAATCCTGTGCCAATATTGTTGAAAGTTTCTCCATTAGACATTTTATGAGCTTTTCTCCAATAATCACTGCTAAAAAATTATCCAACCCTAACAGACTTTCAGTGACAATTTCAATAGATATTCAAGGTCATAACGTACGTAGGAAAATTCCAACAACAATTCTAACATAATCGACTGAAATTTCAGTTAGATTTTGATGATTCCAACAACAGTTTTTCCAACAATTGAAATTATTAGCGGGAAAAAAAATTCCATGGGGAATTAAAATCATCAAATTTTAACTAGAAATCCAATGAAAGTTTAATTCCATCCAAAGAGTTTAATGTTGATCCTTTTTGAAATATGCGTTTAACATTTTCCAACCAAATATTATAACATCGGTATATATCCATAAAATAATTCGATTGGAATATTTTTCTTCATTGAATTTTTTATCAGAATTTGATAATTTTTTGTTAGTGAATATTTGACAAAGTAAACAACAATTTCTCACCATACTCTAATTGGATTTAGCAAATTCGGAACAACTTTCTATTGGAATGGTGACAAAGAGATTAAAAGGATGGTGTTTGCATGGAGCAATCAGTGGAAAACACAAGGAAAAAAATTGGAGCAATGGTGATAATAGGTGTCATTCTATAAATCAAATCTTTACGCAAAAACCCTTAACAAAACCCAAACCTTTTTTTTCTTGGATCCAACCTTTCGCAAAATGCGCAATATTTTGTTCATAATACAGTTGCCTTTTGCTTTGTGTTAATTACACGCATCATAAGTTCATAACTCATAAGCATGATCAAAGGCAGTGTTGGTTCTACATTTTTTTTTTCCTTATAATATGATCTAAATTAACTCTGACTCCTTAAAGCTAAACTTTTGGTGCAAAATAAGTAAATAATACTTTTGATGTGATATTGAAAATGTTCTAAATCCATCTTGATAGTAAAATTTCAAACATTTGGTG